TATTTTATAGGAATAAATTGTTTAATTAATATTTTTGAAATTTAAAATTAGTAATGTTTAGATTAAATTTGAATAAGATTTAAATATTCTACTTGACACGTACTATATATAAGCCGATATATAAGTATACACATCTGTTCCTATAATAAATATATTTTATATATAATACATAGTAATAATTACGTTATTTCTTTTTTTAAGAAATGGCGCCTAATATCTTAATGTTATTTTATTATTTCTTATATATTTACAAAATTATGTTTAAATATGTGAAAAAACAAACAAAAAAAAAACGGTATATAAATGTTAAATATCAAAAATGTAATTTTTAATTTAGTATTAATTTAAAAATTTTTTAATTTATAGTATATATTTTGCAGAAATTTAAAATAATTTTCATTTATTTTATAGACTGATATATTATATGCTATTATTCTCTTCAATTGCCTTATATTAAATTTTAAATTAAAAACGTTTTTGAACTATTTTAAAATTTATAAATAATTTTTTAATTAGATGCAATTTATTGCTAATTAAATGAATACTATTTTATTCTATATTTGTTAAAATAATAGATATAAAACAATTTCAATGATTTTCAAATCATGTACATAGAATGTATGTAATTCTGTGCAAAAAATATATTTCGTTGCCTTTTAAGTAAACCCCATAAGGTGCAATAACTATGTTAGCGCATGACGCAACTCTCCATATACTTTTCGACGGACGGTTAAGGTATGATTTCTAGCTTCTCCAGCGAATTTTTAATTATTATTAATTAAATTAATTATTTTTTTTTAATTATTATTATTTATTAATTTCGACGACAAAAACAAGTTTCACCGGACCATATCCGATAAATAAGTTGTTTTATTTATCACATTTCAAATACTTTTAGCTAAAAATATTTAAACAACGATGGTTCATCTGATCGCGGAAAAGTTCTTAATACCATTTAGGATATAAATATATTGAATAATGGAATATTATAAAGTACGGCTTTATGTTTACATAGAATGTATTGCATCAAGTATAAATCAAAGCAAAAATGATATTAAAAAAAATAATTATATTAATTGTAAAATTTCATTTTTCTTGAAATAAATTATAAAAAGAAACAGAATATCAAAATAACTTTAAATAACGTAATAAACTATATATTTTAATATTTTGTAATTATTTAAATTACAAAATAAGCGTTGTGTTTTAATGTATTTAAACAAAAATCCTACAATTTGATAATAGTATTTGCCCTTTTTTTGAAATTTATTTAAAATAATTTTTGTGTATTTGCGATACAATTAAAAAAGTATATATATATAGACATATATAAATTGTCAGGAAAATGTACACAAAAAATATGCTATTATTGCAATATTTTAAATTTACCACAAAATATATACATAAAATATGTTTTATCTTAAGCAATTAAAAATAATTTGTTATACTTAATTTTAAAAATATAAATAAATGTTATAGGTAATGATTTTTCAAAATTCTATAAAATTATGGAATTGAAAATATTTTTTCCTTCAAATTTTTGAATCTTAATTTAAATTAGAAAGTTTTAAAAATAAAAAAATAACTATCCTACACATTCATTGAATATTTTAAAATAATAAATTCTTTTTTTTCTGTTCAGTTTTAATATATCATTTTAATTTCAGATATATGTAGAAATGTAGAATTAAAGAGTGATATTTATATAAAAAATAAAAAATCAAACTATATTTAAATGCATGATCCCACGTTGATTGATGGATTATTTTTTATTAATTTTATATTATTATTAATTGAATGTTATTTTATTTGGTTGTTACTTTTTTTACTTGTATTTAATATACGATTTATATTATACTTGTTCGTGTTTTAACCATGGATGTAGTCAAGAGTCTCGCTAGGGTTCAAAATTAAAAAAAGTCATTTAATATCTATACAATTTTATAAAATTGTATATATTATGTTAAGAAGTTGAATTTAAAAATCTTTAAATTTTTGATTCTTAAGAATTAAGACATTTTTGTGCACAAATAATTGGGCGATTGTTAGTTAAATTTTTAAATTTAATTTTTTTTTTTAGTAAATAAAGAAATATTATTTATGTTAAAATAAGTATACATGCTTTTTTCATATAACATAATAAAAAACAAAAAGAATTAAAATATAAATAAAAAATCAACAGTTTATTTTAATTAGTTTGGTCATCCTATTGCTTGCTATCCCTACACCAGTACCTCGAGCATTATGTCTTTATGTTATAACATTGTCTCTGTCATTTATATAGTACGAATATTGCCTCATAGACTTTTCCTTGGTTACATCCATTGTTGTATTTAATTAAGGAACTATTTAGATGCATACTTTTGTTGTAGTGAAGGTTTAATCAATATAGTTTATAATATTTCTCTTTTTGTTATTATCGGTGATCGGAGCAGGCCAATCTTTTTGAAGGACACATAAGTCATCATTGTTCATTTTACCCCATAGTCTAGGAGCTTTAATAGTTACTAGATGAAGGCACAACTATGGGAGGCTTTTACACGAAAAAAAAATTGACTTCAATTGGTAAGAATTGTTTAATATATTATTATTTTTCTGTTGTGCTTGCTCTGCGCTTAAAATCGAAAAATGCAATATTACCCGTGCCTTTGAAAACTAACTGCGTCTACGAATTGTACTAACATATATAGCTGCGTCTATAGTAATATTACCTGCGCCTTTGAAAATATGAAGAAAAGTCACTAAATTAAGTTGTTATTGAATTTGTTGTAAATTAGGTTTTGCGAGATTAAAAAAAAAAAATTTAAGAGACTAAATATAAAAATTGAATTAAGAAAAATAAATAAATTGTTTATAAATTGATTTGGTGCAGCAGAAACAATATCAGTAATTAGCTCGAAGGATCAGACTCTAGTTTAAACTACAAATTTCCTTAAGAACTTACGACTAAACCTATCCCAGCTATAGATACCTCAGCCAAAAAAGGTTCATTACAAAATAATGATTTCAACATATTTTGAATATATTTTGATAAAGAAAGTAAGTAATATATTGCATGCTTGCTGTTCCTAATTATTTAAAAATTAAAATAATTTTACATGTTATATTATCATGTATATAAAAACAATTAATCTGGCAAAAAATATTTAAATATATTGTAATTTAAAAATTTTATTATATCAAATGAAGAATAATTAATATTGAAATATATATTTCATCTAAAATATTTTAAATACAAGAAAGAAACCAAAAACATCTGACTATAGTTTGTGAAAATTTTAACAAGAGTGAATACGGTATAATCTGGTATAAATACAAAATATATAATTTACTGGAATATCTAACACGTTATAAAAGCATTAACAAAAAGAGACGTTTGAGTATTGTGCTCTGAACGGCAAGTCAGAGCACAATACCAAGTCGATCATTCTGATAGGACTATTTTTCAGACTTTGGGGGTAATTTTAATGCGTTGAAGTTACACACTGACAAAAAATGATTCTGTTCTTTTTTCTGAGACGAACTTTGCGACCATAGTAGATCCAAATTCAAATAGGAAATTGATCATCCCGTTCGACATTGGAGTGATGTTCCACACTACTTTAAGCTTTTGGCATCATTCAAACAAACAAGAAGGGTTTCTGGGATATTCTTGGAGCAGAGCTTTGTGACCATAGTAGATAGTGTTTTTGTGCTATTCGGTATAGTAACGGAAGACGTTATGATTAAATAGAAATATATCCACATTTGAGAAATAATACCTTTAGAATAATGCTGTCGTTTTGCTTTCCTTTTTCTTTGAATAAAACATATTGTTTTCACTCTAAAAATATTTACAAAGATGTGTTCTGATTTGGTTTTTTGTTTTATTTCACTGAATTGCCATAGTCTAAACATTTAATTATATGAATCCAATTATTGCTAATTGTGGTTTACGAAATGTGAAGTGTAAACATGGCATTAATTGGTTTCAAAAAGTTCATCTTAGTATGCAAGATATAGTCGCTATTCTCATCTGGATTTTAAAGCGACAGTCTCTTATGATGTAGCTTTTAATAATATATTTCATTAAAAATGAATAATTTTTTTTTATTTAAAAATCGCCGATTTGAAATATTTGCAAAATGGGATCATGCGCTAATTATTAAATAATTATTTTGTTGGAAGGATAAATAATTAAATACGAGAAAAAAAAAAACAAAAAAAATATAATTGGATATGAAAACGAAGTTATAGTCTATAAATAAATACTATTTTAAATCCATATACATTATATATTACAATATAAATATTATGTTAGAGAAAAAAAATAAATACAAATTGTAAGCAAGTTTTTATTAATGATTTTAATAAACATTGAAATATTTATTTTATATATATTTAATAAATAAGTTTAAACTTTATTATATATTATGATAAGTTGTTTTTTTTAGTTGAGTGGCAAGTTTAAAATTTTATATTCTATAATTGAAATCGTCGCCAGATCTTTAATCTAAGAAATTCTATATTAGCTAAGAAATAATGTTATTAATATTAGTTATGAATTTTTTACTTCGTAAATCTATTCTAGTGCCTGTTTGGTATATTTTATCTTACGCAATTCACTTCACGGTTTAATCTTAATTTAAGTTGTTCAGATATTGATTGTAGCTAAGACTTGTGGACCTCCAATTACTACTTGAGTTTCATGCCAAAATTTTTTTGAGATTTTTTGTTGATTGTTGATTTTTTATTTGAATGATGTTTTTGGCATAAATATTAAATGTTGATTGTAGATTAATTCTAATTTAATTGTTTTATAATTTAAATTTAATTTAAGTAATTTTTTAATTTAAGCAATTCAAATGCAAATGCAGAGAGAATTTTTGCTGAATTATAGCAAAATTTATTTAAGCTTTTTGGTTTTAAGATATTTTCTTAAATTTATTTTAAATTCTTTTTAGTGATAATTTTCACTGTACTTATTTATTTTGATATAATTATTTAAGTTATTAATATAATTTTTAAATCGACTGATTTATTTCTAGTTGTTTTGTAAATTTTTCATTTAAAATTATCATCCGCATTGCCGAGTTGTAGTGCGTAGCTCACCCCCGTCGTACATATTTAAATTATGTTGACGCGAATACTCATTTACCACATATTGACCTAAGGATTGTTGTAGGTTCGATTGTGGTTTTATTTATTTTAATAATTGTTGATTGTAGTTTCATGTTTAAAATTAAGTATTATAATAATGTAACATATGAGTTTTCGTTCACAAACTTTTTAATTCAAAATGTGAAAATATTGACTTACCTTCATCAATACTTCTAGAAGCCTCTTCCATATCTGCTTTAGCATATCGCACTATCACATACATCAGTGGCATCAACTCGTAAGGATATCCAAATTTCTGTAATAACTTTTCTGAGTTTCCGATAAGGATATCTCGTGCTGGAAGAGAAAAAAATAAAGATTAATGAAATTGTTAATTCTTCTCAAACTGAACTTATACTTGAAAATTATTTACTTTTTTTTAAATACTTCTAAAAATAAAGTCATTCCAAAAGTTTTGATTTAGGAATAAAATTTTGTGACAAATTCAAATCAAAAATAAATAATTTAATGTTATTTTAATGGAATATTTTTAACAGAAATATCGTACACTTTCGCTTAATCAGAGGTGTGTGGTATATAATTTTTTTTAAATACTTGAAAAAAAAAATACCATACTTAACATTTAAATTTTTTTATAGAAATTAATGATATGTCAGAATTAGAATTATTTAATATATACAATTTATTTGCACTATTCTAAGAAAAAATTCTTGCATAGAAAATTTATATTTATAGAATATAAAAACTCTATATGTGAATCATTTTGAATAAGCTGTTTAGACTACATAAAACATAGAACTTACAATAAATACAATAAATAAGGTTTTAAAACTTAAATGTAGAGAATTTAAGAATTCAATAACAAAACTTAGATTAGAACTTTTCATTTACAAGAGACAGGTACATTCAAATCTAAACTAATTGAAAAATCTAAACTAAAATCTAAATCATTAGTTAATAAGGTACCAATAAGTGTAAATACTGCACCCTGTAAATATCATTTTAAGTAACAATATTTAGTATGATTGCTTATACATTAAGGATTCTATTATGCAGACAGTTATGGTCACAACAAATTTAAAATTTTTTATTGTTTTCAATGTAATTTAGAAACTTAATATTGAGCACAAGACAGAAAATTTGATTTGATAAATGTGAGGATATTACAAAAAAGTATTAATATAGTAGCAATAGCACGAAAATAAAAATTGAAATTTAACAGTCTACATATCAAGACCTCATGGTTATGAACATAAAAAGCATTCAACTTCATAAAATGGCCTTGATATATCACTTCTCAAACTACAACCGCCAAGTACTTGTAGTCTGACAAATTTGAAACGCAGCCTCACGTCTAAAGCCACTAATCTAACATAATATCATATTTAATTTTCATTGTTCAAATTTCCAATTTTGTTAGCAATTTTGAAAAGTAATGTACCATAACAACAAACATTTTTTTTTATAATATTTAATTAATTGTATTTTTAGCTGATCATACAACGCTGTTTTGAGTATGCTCATCAGTGATCTTTGAAGTATTTCTTATATTTAATTTTTTCTAAATCTTTTTTTAAGATTGCTTAGTAGCAAGGCTTAAACTCGCGCCCTCTCAAATTTTAAGCTCAGAGTCAACGTTCATAAACTAACACAACCAAAGTAAAAAATTTCAAGTTATGTTATAACAAATCCAGTTGCTGTGCCATTTTTAGAATAAACGTGTAAACCACAGCTATGTTAATGTATTTAATTATTGTAAATTGTTATTTCTCGTATATACGGATAATTAAGTCTATTTAGAAGACTACTGATGATGAATATTTGGTAGTATGAAAAACAGCTGTATGATCTAAAAATTAGGTTATATCCAAATCTACAGCTTCTTAATAAAAAATAAATATATATGAAAAAAAGCTGTTAACTATTCTAAAGTGGATATAAATTATAAAACTTTTTTGGTTTTATGAGTGAAGCATGTTTTCAGATAAAATTATTTTTGGCACCCTGTATCTTGGTTTATTTGAAATTCGATTCTTACCGTTTCCATACCATATTTTTCATTGCATAAATCAACACATCTGCTGTTTAATTTATGAAAATTTCAAAACGAAAAATTTTTTATATAATATATAGCTTATAATATATATCAATATATTAATTATACCGTTAAATCATATAAATTCTATTATTGTTATTCCATATTGAACACAATTTTGTGTTCTGATAACAACTTACCATTTGTTTATATACATTCCTGTGGTGTTATATCTTGATTTCAACAAATGTATATAAACAAATATATGTAATCATATTGACTTTAACTGCATGCATAATGTAACTACCATAAAAATTTGTAAGTCATCGGTTTTCTGTTAAAAATAAATTTTGAACTTATTTGCATAAATGCAACATGTAGGCGGATTACTGCCATTATATTTGGGGAAGCATTTTATTTTAAAATGATTTTAATTAAAATACATAGCATATGCATAATATACATATGAAACATACATTTACGTATACAAATTACATAAAGTATATATGCATATCTATAGTTAATGTATTTGTTATGATTGTTGGAATTTGGACGCTATCCTTGCACTCATTGTTTTCTTTATTTAAATTTTAATGTATTCATATTTTATGGACTTTTATACATATATAATTTATTCATATGACTTTTGTTTTCAAAATTTTAACACCATTCATAAATTATAATTTTATTCATTTTCCGTGATTATTTAATACTTTATAAAAATAATTTATATATAAAGTTTAAAATTATCGACAAATAAATACTTAACAATAACATATGTATATAGCAAACTTTGCTATGCTAACGGATGGAATAGCTAGTATTATACCAAGAAGGTCATTTTAAACATTACCATCATAATTTAAGAAGGTTCTTGCCAAGAAGAAGAATGTTGACTTAGATAATGACTTCGAAGAATTGTTAGTCAATAGCGGGAAAGGAGGAAGTTAGTAAACATTTGTAAAATGAAAACGGCAAACTTGTTAATATTATAAACTTGTTAATATAAATATTTATTTTTTATTAGAAATGAATGATTTTCATATTTTTTATTGGTCAATGTAGTCGCTATAGATTATTTATATCTGAAGTAAATTTTTATTTTTTCATGTGGGAAAATGTTATCCTCTTTACAATTTTCAAAAATGAAAATATCTTTTTTTGTATTTTTACTTTATATCTTAAAAATCTTTAAATATAAGTCAAATTCAAAATTTCTTATGTTTCACAGCTGATTGATGGAATGCGATTTCAGCCGGAAGTCTTTCACCCTCTGATCGGTGATATCTGCTATTCGTTCCTATCAGGTGATTTTAATTAGTTTAAGTCTCACATTTTGGATTTTGATGCTTTCTACATACCGCAAAAAAATAAAATAAAAAAATTAGCACTTAAGTAAAGGACATACTCATTATAATTTCTTTAAGGTGGTATTAAAAACTTCCTTCTCCCAAGATGCTGTACACCGTTTTTATATTTTTTGTTAACAAGCTACTGTTTTTTCTTTAGAATATACTTATTATACATTCTTTTCAAAGGGGATATTTAAACAATTTCTTCAAAGTACATACTATCATAAAGACTTCTTTTGCCAATAATGGTGGCATATCCTCTTCATGTTCCTTTTAGATAAACTACCTTTTTTCGCGAAGATATAATCATTGTACATTCTTCATGGAAGATTTAATTCAATTTTTTTAAAACACAAGTTTTTTAAAATCTTCTTTCTGTCAAGGTGAAGTATACAGTTTTCATATTTTTTCTTAACAAGCTACTGTCTTTTCGTTAGAATATGCTCATTATATATTCAACAAGAGGAATATTTATCACAGTTTCTTTGCAGTACATAACTATCTCAAAGGCTTCCTTCTCATATGGTGGCGCGCATCCTCTTAATGTTCCTTTTGGATAAATTACTGTTTTCCATAAATATGTAGTCATTGCACATTCTTCACGGAAGATTTAATTCGATTTTTTTTTAAACACATAAGTATTTTAAAAACTTCTTTCTTTCACAGCGAAGTACATCTTCTTCATCTTTCTGCTTTATCGACCATTGTTTAACGTCAGATACATTTTTTAAACTAAAAAGTTTTATTTGACTTTAACTAGTGAGTAAATTTTCTTAAGCATTTTCATTTTATTGCTGTGCTATTGTAAACTGTTTTATACATTAAAATATTTATTTCTTTAGTTAACAGTAGATTGAGATAATATTATGGGGATCTAATCAATGCCATTAAGCCACTGTTGCTATATTTAGCAAATTACCAATGTTCGCGGTTGGACAAAGTGTCTTACCTCTTCGGCTCACATAATTACAGAAATATGTTGCACAGCTTCTAATTATATGTTGCTAGCTCAGAGAATTGCAAATATATAATTAATGTACAAAAATAGCTGATCATATATTCAGAAGAGTAAAGAAACACAACACCTGTGCTTTGGATCTGCAATTTTCAATATAATATTAATTCATTTCAATTTTTTACCTTTATAGTTCACAGACTTTTAATAAATTTGCAAGTAAATTAATTTTTCTTACAGGGTCAGTTGTTAGTTTTTGTTTCTTGTTTGAAAAAAGTTATTCTTAAAATATTAATAAATCCTTATATATTCCAAATATATCAATAATATATATAATATAATATATAGGCTCATATTATATGAGTCTAAAAATAAAAACTATAATAATTTATAAACAATTAAAAATGGCTTTTCTATTTTGCAATGTATTCTTCTTTGTGATCTATATTCACTATTACCATGATAATTTTTTCCTTTCTGCTTGAAAGATTCCCAAATATGTTTTTAAACGCATCAATGGTTTCCTTTGTCCATGCAGTCTATGCAGTTTTATTTATTTGCGGGAAGAATGAGAAGCCGTTGGTTACCAAATCAGAAGTGTGCGGTGCATAACCTACTAATATGATGTTTGTATAATCAAAACCCAAACAGTCATTCAGTTTTGTCGATGAAAATGTGATGAGCTTAATAAAGTGATTACTCAATGATAGAGTTCGCTTTATCGTTTCAAGGAATTATCTGTACTTGGCGATTAGTTTTTCTGAAACCTCCATATATTTCCGACAAAGAAATTGTGGCGCAATACTCAAAATTGATCCTTTTACATTGCTTAATGGCACTGTTGACACATGATCAATTTATTGATGTAATACCCTACAACCGAAGAACTTGGAATAGAAAAAGCTTTTATTGAATTCGACTCATAAAGTCGACTACTGTGTAGTTTTAGGCACCATGATTTGTAAGCTTTGTGTCAGCTTATATAGAAAAAACGTGGGAAAAACTTGTTGCAGTGGTCGAAATGCCCCGAAACTTTCTGATCGATAGTAATACAAGTATTTTGTATACTAAATTTTATTTTTCTACCTATCATAAAAAACACATCACACCTTTTCTATTATGTCTACTTAAATAGTTTCTACACTTAAGAAAAAATATTGATTGTCTAATTTTAATTATGCCACACTCTGCGGATTCTGCATTTAAATTCGGTAATGTAGCGTTTCATAGGATTGAACTTCAACACCAATAATGGAAATAAGTTCCTTATTGCACTTTTGTTTTGACACATCACACATTGTGGTAATTTCTTTATTTTTTTTTACTGAGACAGAACTCTCAAACCATAGTCGTGCTAAAATGTTAAAAGATTTTAAATAAAATAATGATTTTAAATGTTAAATCTTTCATTTGAAATACCACCTAACATCTAGCAATAAGGTT